ACACCTTCTTGTATGTTTTCAGAATGAAGCGCTCACCCCATTGCCAAAGATCGCATAATCTGGTCGGCGTACAAGAGGTGCACCGAAGGTACACAGAATGCCAGCTTTACTGTATTTGTGAAATGCAAGAATGTCATAATAACATGTGACACATGTGATGAATTGTATCACTTGACTAGTGGTGGACTAGCAGGCTGTATATCAAACGTTTGAAAGTGTAACGAGGACAATGTCAGTTTCATAAATGTTGGGTGTTTTGTATGAATTTTATTTTCACTGAAGATATGAAATAACGAAGTACAGTACATTTTCAATTTAAATACATAATTGGGCAATTTACAAGAGCACTCACTTGTTTCTATTGCACCTCCTTGGATTACTTCAAGTTGATGACGCTCCCGCTTTATAATTACTGTTCTTACCGTGACAGATACTAATATAGTATTATTATACATCTGTCACAGTAACGCCATAAGTTACAGCGTGCCGTAATTTTGCGGTATTTTAAGGGGTATTTTCATCCTACCATATTAAGAAATGCGAATTCCAAATATGAAATGATTACGCGCGTGAGCGTCCTCTAATAATAAAAACTAACATGACTGCCACCAGGGTTTGACCGGACTCCACACAAAGAAGTTCGCTTATTCTGTTCTAAATTTGTTGGATTTCGGCATTCCCATGATGTATTCTTGGAAGGAAAAGATGTATAATAATAATGTTATTACGAGGATACCTCAAAGTATGCACTCAGACAGTACGCCGTCGCATCGACCTCCGCTGCGCGTCGGTAGATACTCCTGCTGTACTGTCTTCGTGCATACTTTGAGGTATTCTCGTAATAACCTCATATTATTCTCAATTATACGAAATCTATTACAGAGCTTTTACGGAAATATATACTTGTTTGCTATATATGTACTTAAAAATTCAATTAATATTTTATAATCCTACCTTCACAAATTAAACACTACTGCTTAACGTGAATCTCTCATAATACAATGTCCCTTTAATCGACCTCAGCAGCAGTGTGGCAAACAAAAATAGTCATATGGCGATTGGAATATTCCGAGTAAACAGTCCTTAGCAGCATAATACAGAGCTCCAATACGGTCCTATGAACATAAGACAAAGTAACAATTATATAAATCGACTTATTGTCTACATATAATAAATGAAGAACAACATTTCGAAGTATGCACATAATCATTAATTGTAAAAAGCGAATAATAAATTTCACACAACCAAACCAATCCGCCTCATGTACTAAATAGTTCTATACATGTATCATGTGTTGCCGCCGGTTCGTAACAAAGTTAGATATGTAGCGCCCTCTAGTGGTCTTTTCGTTTTGTTCGAAGTTGACCTTTTACCTTTTTGGAAATCGCTAGTACCGCGGCATTTGATTTGACTCGACACTAAAACTCAATTCAATTCAATTCGCGCTATTCCATGGTCAAGACACAAACGTAAGTGTGATCTTATTTCCCGTTACTGAAATAAGGACATCCTTCAGAATTATAAATTTTTTGATGAGTGAATTCAGCGAGGTTTCTATTAGTGCAATTTTACATTTGTATCTCAACAACTACTTCTGTATTTTCATTGTTCGCCATTATTGGTCTGTAAGCAGCGAATATTACAGATGTGTGAATCATATTTTAGGGCAGGGTCACAATATTATGATGTAAAGGACAAATGCCTGCCAACAAATGACCACACCTAACAGGATACATTTTCACAAAAAATACCACGGGGTGGGTGTGGGGGTGCTACGAATCTGAACATATCAGATCTGGGCTTCCTGACTAAAAGTAAATAGAGGATCTCCAATGAGTGACCGTGT